ATAATATGCTGGACCATAGGTCTTGTGATGACGACGAGGAAGATGAGCCACTCCTTGCAATGTGCGGAAAAAGTCGTGGAGGACATCTTCAAGACTTGGTAATCCCACCTACGAATTCTCTGGACCTGCTCGTTCATGCCAGCGAAGCGATATTCTGCCTTCTCCTGCTCACCAATCGTTTCTTCGCGTCACCAGATGTTAATGCATCTAACAGAGTAAAAAACAACGAAAACACTGTAAAAACTGAGCTTGTTAGAAGAAAGCCTTTGAGTTTTGGTGGGTGGGACAACTAGGGAGGCGTCTGAACTGCCTTTTATGAGGGCACAACGCCTTCGTTACTCACTGTGAAGCCACGAAAGCGGGATAATTTCAGAGACTAAAGATCAGATTACTTGTACAAGGAAGGGCTCCTACGAATCGCGTGAGCGCGAGAACTCCCCTTGAAGTTTCGTTACAGCGTTTTCTTCTTAACTTTCTTTACACGTTCATCTGCATTTTGCTCCATAGCGATAGCGTAACGGCGCAGTCCTTTAATGGCTTCGTTCATGGCGCTAGGACGGGAAATTAGACGTGGGTTCAAGCATAGCGCGTCGCGGGAAATTGTTCTGTCGGTGGGACCCCACCACAAAGGGGTGTCCATACGCCCTCACTCATCCACTCTCATTGTTTGTTGTGATATTTGTCCCATGAAAGCAATCGTGTTGCCTTTTCGACGGCTATGTCCTAAAATAACGCCGAAAGCTTTTTAGTAATGCAAGTTTTTGACCGTTTCATGAGCACAACTTTGTTCATACGTAACGTAGAGCGAAAAACTACAGGGTTTCAAAACTAGGAGATTATTCTGAAAAAGGACGCTTTCACTGAAGCTCTCCTATAACGAAAATTCCCTCGTCGTTGGATTTTGCCTCAGCTGCAATAGGAGGATCCACTCACATTGCCCACATTTCCACTCAATCAGTAACCTTGCCAGTTTTTTCCTTTGAAGACGTTCCCTCGTGCTCAACCGACGTATGCGTCGTTCCTTGTATTAGGTTGT